AGTTTCGAAATTAGTGGAATCTACTTCCGGATAGAGACGGAGAAAACTGAATTTTCTAAAAATTGGCTTCATTTATAATGCGATTTTAAAATAAAATCCACATTAAAATTGCGACTCTTTCTACTAGGTACAAGAAGGCATAATCAGAATTTCACTACGACGTTGCGTCTCTTGCCCTCCAGCATCGACTTTATTTTTTGCAATGGACCCAGTATTGGATTTTTACACACGTAAATAAAGTTTTTATTATTCTTCTTTTGACTTCCATCACTAAGTTGTTCAAATATGTATATTGGAATTTTGTACATTAAAGTCCTGTTCGTTCAGCAGTCGCCAACCTGTCAGTGACCGTGTCCAAGATCCTGCCACGTAAATTCAGCTCACTTTGCTACGGTGTACAGACGGAATTCACACGGCCGGATCCAAGACACACTCACCGACAACTCACCGATCACTGTACGTACAAATCTTTAAATCGACTTTTCAGTCCTAAGTTTAGTGATGTATTACCTTAGTTGACTATGAATTTGTTGTTGGGTGAAAATTATAAGGAGATTAAAAGGTAGGTATAGTGAAACCTAAACACAAAATGAACATTGATGATAATAACAAAAATAATCGTAAATAAGCAGAGATACATCATAGCAGATATTCAAAATGTGGTCTGTTAGTTTGTAGGCAAAACCTGACTCTATACGTCATATCAAAATTCTGATTATGCCATCTTGTAGAGGAGAAAAAGTGGCAATGTTAATATTTAATTTATTTTGAAATCCTACTGCAAAGTCGGGAAAACTTGAAACCATTCTGGGAAAATTCACTTTTTTCGCCTCTCTCCTGAAGTACTTTGAATTTCGAAACTTTTCAAGTGGCATTTAGTTGATTACTTGAATACGCAGCTTGCCCCCATTAAACCAACTTCGTATCTCTTACAGTTTCTGAGATTCAAATGGTGATGGTCGAATTTGAAACACCTCGTATATACAGCATGAACATACTCACATTGACAAAGTGTTCTGTATAATCAAACACTGGAATCAGCAATGCCTGCGCCTGTACCCATAATTACAGGAAAACCCGTTTTTGGCATTAGGAAGATTTTGCTCAAAATTCAGCGAAAACATGCATTGGTAATTTCTCTAACTAGGTACCTGCAAATTCTGTTGATCATACCAATCCTTCTGTGAATATCCATTTATAGCTGCTTTTCAGATTATCTGCCCCACTGAGCAGTGCCGGTGCAGGAAAGGTTAAAAGGGAGAGAAAAATAAAAATCATTTTGGTACTGTTGCGTCTTGTAGAACTTCTGGTTTCACTGTTTTTTCACTTGAAACTTATATAGGGTAATCTGATTATTTTAAAACTAAAAAAGTGTGTATGAAGGACGCTTTTAATGAGAATTTTTTCCCAAAAAACTATTTTTGGCAGCTACTTCCACCATTATTTGAACCACCACCTGCCATAAGACATCTGTGCATATGTCATACGAGAGGCGCTTACCTGCGGTGTTGCCAGATCGGGCTCAGCATTTAGAGAAAAATATGAAAAGTGGAAGATTTTTATACATTACAAAATTACTCAGTAGTAAATTAAAAAGTGATTCCTAATAATTATGAAAAGAAAACTGTGCATTATGAAGTAGTAGTAGTCGTATTTTCTTGGGGAACCATTAGCACTCAAGTGATTAAGAATATAAGATCGAGAAAGGGTGTCAAGCCTGTACGTTAATCCTTGATAACCAAGTTTGAAGCAGGAACTGTGAGGTGGTGAAAGATCACTTCTCATATCTACCTATGTATGTGTTCAAAAATATATTTTACTACTACCTCATAATACACAATATTTTTTCTATAATTAATCCATTAATCCTTTTTAATTTACTGCTGTGTTATTTTAGTTTCTTTTTCGTCATTTTGTGTCATTAATATATGTATATAAATTTTCCAGTTTTCATATTTTTCCCTAAATGCGGAGCCCAATCCGGCAACACCGCAGGCAAGCACCTCTCATATGACATATGCACAGACATCATATATGGCAGATGGCGGTGAAAATAATAGGGGAAATAGCTACTAAAGATGATGTTTTGGGAAAAAAATTCTCATGAAAAGCGTCCTTCATCCACACTTTTTTTGTTTTAAAATAATCTATCAGACTACTCTATATAAGTTTCAAGTGAGATCAGAAGTTCTACAAGACGCAACAGTACCATCATTTTAACGTTTCAAAAGATCCTGATCATTTTTGAAAACAAAATTGAAAGGTAAACAATTGTGGGTGTGGGAGGTTTTTTTACTTTAATATAACCACCTATTAAACATATTTCAAGCATCATTGAATTCCTCCTACATATGCCCTTAAAACAGAATGATGGAATGCTTCCGTTATGCGTCACTGCTTCTGCGGTCTGGGATCACCAGCGAGCGTACTGGTCTTGGTAAGTGTTATGACCTTACTGCCAAAAGAAACATGAGCCGTTTTCCTTGTTATACCTACATGTACGTAACTAAGTTGCTTCTCAGAGGGTCTGCCTTGTGCTGAACACAATTCTTTAAGAACTGATGATGCCGTTGCGTGGGAAGTGCAGAGTCAACCTACTTGACGCCATTTTTTTCAATGATTAGTCTATTTCAAAATGAGAGAGAGAGAGATGCCCAATGGGGTGAGAAAACTAAAGGAATATATAGTTTCATCCATAATTCCTAAAGTATAACATTTACATATTTATGAGTCAACTTGTAAAAGGATTTGCAAGTCCAACAACAACAATGGGCAAACGAAATGGCCAGTAGGTAGTCTGTGAGTTTTCATAAGGGTCCATTTAGGTAAGCCGTAAACCATTCAATAAGACTAATAGTGTTTAATACTTTTTATATTCCATATTATTTAAGGATTATATTTAACATACTTTAATGTTCATCTGAACAATCTAAAATGTTTAAAATACTAATGTATTTATTTATTTACAGGGTAGGATACAGTCCGGGTTAAAAAATAAACAATTATTCCATAAAGTAGATATTTTAAACACAAAGATGCTATTTACAAGTATCATAGTGCAGATAAGAAATCAAAAATCAGATAAAACTTTACAGAAATATATCCAATTATTGTTCTGCAACGTCATCAGCCGTACCAAATAGTGGAGAAAACTTTAAGATGTTTGTTCTAGGGGTGGGCAAATAAAAAGTTTCAAATCGTCTAGAACTTGAACAGGGAACAAGAAAATTAAATTTATGCAATATGTCGCAGCAATCAATACGACCGTACAATATATCACATACAAAACTAACGGAGCACTTCTCACACCTTTCCTAATACTTTCTAGATCAAAGGTTTCTTCTAAAATTTTTTGAGGGTAGCCAATCGGCGGATGACTACGTTTATCTATCCAAAAGTTATAGAAAGTCTGCTGAACAATTGACGCATATTCAAGCTTTGAACGAACAAGTGAGCAATGTAAATTAATTGTAGTAATGTCTTATAATTCACGACCACAGCGTATAATAAAGCCAAATATTTTGTAACTCCCAGCAATAATTGTCTCCAAATGGCTATTGAACCAATGATTTAAACTGACACTTAAATTCTTGACTTCGCTTAAGCGATTAAGAGGCGCACCACCAATATTATAACCAAATACGATTGCTTGAGTGTTGTTAGTGTAACTGACCACATTACACTTCACGGCATTTGAAGGCAAGCTATTTTTGCGTCATCAGCTGTCAAGCACGTTGATATTATATTGTAACTTTTCACAAGAGACCGAATCGGACAAAGAGGCTTGAGATCGTCAGCATAACATATAGTAGAAACTGGACATCTAATTGAGTCTATATATCATTTATAAGCATAACTAAAATCAATGGCCTCAGGACAGACCCTTGAGCAGCACCAGTCGTAACAGTATTACTGTTAGATAGGAAGCCGTTGTGTATTACGTATGTGACGCTCCCAGAGGTAGAATTTTATAAGGGACACATACCAAAGTAGGCTATCGATGTCTTTTAATATTATGTAATAATACCTACTTAATATCAATCATAATAACCATAGTTGTTCTATAAAAAAAACAATAATCACCTGAGCTCAGTGCCCAACCAGCACGTTGATATAATTCAAAAAACGGGGAGCATAACTGTTATTGGGCAGAATCTGTCGAGCCCATATACAGGACCAATGCCAAACGAGGAAGGTGGAGTGGGAGTCGACGATGGAGACGACACAGCAGTACATGCGGCCTTGCCGTTAATGTTATCTCGCTCTTCTAACGTGAAGTACGCGTGTTTATGTTTGTGCTTAGTTTCTTCTTTAGATGGATGGACAATAAATAGGTAACTAATAATATTATAACTATATAAATAACTAAACCAATGGTAAAATATGAGCAATGAACATACAGAGAAATAACATATACCACCTACGTCGAAATGTGTACGAGAGAGAAGCGTGCTATACGCATACTAGAAATTGATAGAAGTACCACGTTGCCTAGCAACCCGAGTATCGAGGCCACGGACGCAGCTGCGGCTTGTCGCGTTTCCATAGATGCACTCTTTCTAACATACCTATTGCACGCTTCCCGCGCTTCTCTCTCGTACACATTACCTCTCCAGTGATATTTGGATTTCTCTGTATAAACATTTAAGATCATTTACATGGTAAGTCGGAAATTAATACGTAGTGACTATTTTTCTGTTTTCCTAGACTGATGGCTCTGCTGAACTATAGTTATTAATTGATATAAGCAAAGGTTGTTCCACACACTTACGCCATTTTTCTGAAGTTACTTCATGCTCTGAGTTTTCAAAAAATGCATCTCCGTCCTTCATTTTAAACGTGGTTTTTCTCCTAGCTACGAAACCTTTGACTTGAGCCTACACCCATTCAATTGAATTTAGTTCGCAGTGGTAAGGCAATAAGCGAAAAATAATGACGCCGGGTATTTCAGCATCATTTTCAATAGCGTACTTTATAAATTTATGTTTGTGGAAGTTCACTTTAGCCGGTAGTTCTTTCTTCACCATGTTATCTTGAATTCCTATACGTTTATTAAACAACCACTTGATAATATCATCTTTCGTCGAAGATGTAGATATTTTCTCTATTCTTCTGGAGTGGTAACTGCCGTTGTCCATTATTATAACTAATCCTGACGGAATAAATTTTACCATTTGTTCGGAATATTCTTCAAAAACATCAGCAGTCATGTCGTCATGATAGTCACCGGTGCGATTATATTTGAATATTAATAGAACTTGTTCTAGAAAACCTTCTTCGAAGCCAATATGCTTATTACCCAACATCCGGCCGTTGCCACTTGGTTGTTTCATTCCAGTCCAGAACCCTTCTAAATGAGCTTGCCGAACACTTTTCAATATCTTTGTCTTGCCACATTTTAGTTAGTGCAACGTTTCGTTCAAGTAGGTAGTAGATTTTCTTTTGATCAATGGGATATTGTTTATTTATTTAGGGACCCTTATTACAGATACAAAACAGTCCTGCTTTAAAGAATTGCAATGTAATATTGTAATATTCATAATTCTTAATACTTCGTTTAAACCCTTTTTTACACACGTTCCAAATACTTGTGAACTAGATATATATCTATTACCTAACCTAAGAAAAGTTCATTCAAACGATAAATTGTTTGACGAAAGGGAACAAAGAAAGTATCAGTATGTCGCGTTCTCCTATCATTCACGTTAAGTACTTAACAGTAGAGGACAACCAATGTGACTATTTATAATTTTGTTCAAGAAAAGTAAGCCAGATTCCAATCTGCCACATTCATGTAAATATAAGCATCAGTATAATGGTACTTCTGCCCAATGAAACTCATTTAATATCAACAGATCCTTATAACTTTTTTTCTGTACACGCTCTAATTAGATGATCTGTTAAAACTTGGGAACCAGATAGAGCAACAATACTTGAGTAATGAACGAAACAATACAATACAGAATTTCAAAAGAAAAAAATTACAGAGCAACACAATGGCGATTTATAAAACCTAACATCTTATATGCACAGTTGACTGTTTTATGTTCGTTAAATGATAATCTTGAATCAAAAATTACTTCCAAGTCCTTGATCTGGTCTGTAGGTTGATGCTATAGGTTTAAGTAATAGGAGAACATTCACTCTACACCAATGAGAAATATGGTCTATATCTTTGAAGCAATTCAGTATCACGTTTGTTCCCAATAACTAAGAATCTTAACATCATCCACAAATAAACGAATTTCACTTCGTACTAAACTCACAAGATCATTAATAAATATATTAAATAACAACGGACCTAAGTTGGAACCCCGTGGTACTACAGAAGTTAGACGAATATTATATCTGGGATCTATCAGATAAGTAACTACTTATCCAATTCAAGAGCTGACCCTGCACACCACAGTTGTACAGTTTGGACATTAGTATCGAATGGTTAACCCGATCGAACGCTTTAGAAAAATCCATATAATCGGAGTCCACCTGCTGACCCTGCTCAATTGAACTGCACAAATAGTTACTGTATTTGTACCTATAACATCATATTGGTACAGCTTGACTTACCCGGACGAAACCTATGCTGCTGATCGACAATAATGCTTTTAAATTCATTTTGTAGGGAACTACTCATCAAGCAATCCATCAATTTCGTGATACATGACTGAATACACACCGCACGATAGTTTCCAGTAATTTGAAAATTCTCCCGAATGGAGTGATTTATTAAATAAACAGCACAATGGTTTTGCCAGAGTAAATATACATTTTATTCTAATCATATTAGCAAATTTTTCCGAAATAATTGTAAAGTCTGGTTCTATTGACTCAAGTTGTTCAAGGGGGTATTTAAAACTTGAACGCATAAAATGGGTACACCAATTTTTGTTGGAAAACTTTTTATTCGACAACAAAGAACGAGAAAACGTGTTTTTGAGATTTAATCGAAAGTATTGGCAGAAACCAAAAAACTCTTCAAATAAGATTTTTATAATGAGACTACACATAAGAATGTCCGTCTAATAGTAAAAAAGTTATAGCCGAAAACCCAGGCAAAATGCAGGTTTCGCCACTTGCTACTAATACGGTGATAATTTCACGCAGCTACTTGAAATTCTTCAAATCCGTAGGCTTCATACTTCTAAGTAACCACAGCAAAATTGGAGTCGATTGGTCAAGTAGTCTTTGAGAATTTGTAATTGTTTATCCCAAAACACCTGTCTTCCGACAATCACTACTTAGTTTACTGAGCAATATACAGGGTTCGCTCAAAGGGCATTTTATAGCAAAATACACGAGTTTACCTTGCCGACATAAATCAAAAACCACTCCAAAAGATAACTGTTGTTTTAACTTTTAAACGAATTCAAACATTCCGTATTTGATATTCGAAAAACATACGTTATTATACACATTACACATTTTAAAATAAAGCAGATGTGTCCATCACCTTTTGTTGCGAAAGAAAACAATTTTTTTTTCAAGATTTCTTCATACTCTTGTGTATACGTACATGTTTAGAGGTGACATTTTTACACGGTCACAGATGAGCCCTAAACTTTATAAAAAAAATACTTCATACTGAAATGCGCTGATCTATTTTTAAAGTTAGCACGCAAACTGAAGACACAATAATTATGTTTCAAACTGTCTTAACTAGTTAGTATGTAGCATGTGCTAAATGGCTACATTATTGATGACTGCATGATTTTGTCAAATAAGCAGGTCACGTAATCCAGTTTCTTTACGAAGAAATATAATTTCCTGGACCTTTTTTATAAAAGTATTATTATAGTATTCGTCTGTTTTCGAAATCTCGTACGATTAAAACGACTGCGAATTCAAAATATTGGAAAATAAACCCGAGAAAACGAAGAAATAGTAGACAAATATCAACCTATTGTAGCGAACTGACCGTCTTGAAAATTAGGCAAGATGGTCGGTATTAGTCTCTAATACATGATTTAAAGTTTCAGCATTGTATCTTGTACAGTCTTCAAGATAATTCTAATTGTTCATAATATATTTGATATGTTTCTAACGTTCCCTTGACATTTGTCAGTGTCAAGTGTAGGGGTATAAAGATCCAGTAAGCCAAGAGGCGTAGCGTAATGAGAAAGAACAGCGATTGCTGAACCGCAGGACGTAGGTTCAAATCCACAAAGCTCCTTTTTTGCTATTAATGTTTTTTAATTTGGAGAAATAAATGCTTTTTCACATTATGTGTACTCTTATTGCACGTCATAGTGAATGTAAGCTTGCAAACAGGAAACCAGCGGTATACGTATGATTGTTCATCATTTTTTTTATAATACTTTGATGAAACTTCAGAAACATAGATAGCATCATAGCAGATAATTTTTGAAAACATATATCTTAGATGTGTAAATTATTAACCAACAATAATAAAAGACATCCGAAATTTTGTTAGTGATAATAAGCTTGTTTAATGCACTACAAGTTAATTACCTCAAGTTAGTGGTTAAACACATCACAACACGAAAAAATAAGCAGCATGATGGTTTCTATGGCTAATAATTAGAATAATAATTAGAATATAATTCGAAAATGTCAATGAATCCTTCATATAATTGTATTCTATGCACAACAATACAAATTTTAGACGCAAAAAAGAATAGATATAGGGTAATTGAAATTGCTTCATTTCCGATTTTTTACATATTTAACCACGTTGTATTAGGGCTTCCTCTTTCCCATCACTCCCTAAAAGAGAGATTACCTCTGTGTTATGCTGCCATAATACAAAAATACAAAATATGCAAAAAATGTCTACGCTAAATACAAGTTATATGTTTTCAAAAATTATCTGCTATGATCCGACATAGTGTTTCTGAAATTTCATCAAAGTAATATAAAAAAAAATTATAAACAATCATACGTATACTGCTGGTTTCCTGTTTGCAAGCTTACATTCTCTATGGCGTGCGAAAAACTGATTGCAATAAAGTACACATAATGTGAAATAGCATTTATTTCTCCAAATTAAAAAAAAATTTAATAGCAAAAAAGGGCTTTGTGGATTCAAACCTACGTCCTGCACTCCAGCAATCGTCGTTCTTCCCCATTACGCTACGATTTTTATACCACTACACTTGACACTGACAAATGTCAAGAGAACGTTGCAGACATATCAAATATATTATAAACAATTAGAATAGTCTTGAAAACTATACAAGATACAATGCTGGAACTTTAAATAATGTATTAGCGACTAATACCAAGCATTTTACCTAATTTTGAAGACGGTCAGTTCGCTATAATTGGTCTACTGTTTTTTCGTTTTCTCGAGATTATTTTCCAATATTTTGAACTCGCAGACGTTTTAATCGTACGAGATTTCAAAAACAGACGTATAGTATAGTAATACTTTTAGAAAAAAGGTCCAGGGAATTATATTTCTTAGAAAAGAAATTGGATTACGTGATCTACTGATTTGACAAAGTCATGCAGTCATCGATAATGCAGCCATTTAGCACATGCTACATACTAACTAGTCTAAGACAGTTTGAAACATAATTGTCTTCAGTTTGCGTGCTAACTTTATAAACATTTCAGCGCATTTCAGTATGAAATGTTTTTTTATAAACTTTAGATCTCATCTGTGACTGTAAAAATTTCAGCTCTAAATATGTATAAGTACACAAAAGTATGAAGGAATCTTAAAAAAAATTGTTTTTTTCGCATTAAAAGGTGATGGACACATCCGCTTTGTTATACGAAATGTTTGAATTTGTTTAGAAGAAAAAAACGTAGCCCTTCGTTTTCGCATACAAACTACAATTATCTTTCGGAATGGTTTGTGATTTATGTCGGCAAGGTAAACTCTTGTATTTTGCTAAATGCCCTTTCAACGAATCCTGTATATTGCTCAGTAAACTAGTAGTGATAGGCGGAAGACAGGTGTTTTGGGATAAACAATTAGAAATTCTCTAAGACTACTTGACTAATCGACTCCAATTTTGTTGTGGTGACTTAGAAGTATAAAGCCTACCGATTAGAAGAATTTTAAGTAGCTGCGTGAAATTATTGCCGCATTAGCAGCAAGTGCCTACACCTGCATTTTGCCTCGGTTTTTGGCTATAACTTTTTTATTATTAGTCGGATCTTTTTGCGTGTGGTCTCATTCTGTAGGTCTCATAAAAATATCTAAAAATCTTATTTAAGGAGTTTATTCAATTCCTGCCAACACGTTCGATTGAATCCCAACAAACGCGTTTTCACATTCTCTGTTCTCGAATAAAAAGTTTTTCCATTTTAAGCGCCCATGTTTTAAATATCCCCTTGAAAAACATGCATCAGTAAAATCAGACTT